GACCACTAGGCCCTCGTAATTCATTGATATTTTGGCAGATTTTGAATTATTAATATTGACACAAATGTGAAAAATTCGACGCCTCGTTGGGTTTCGAACCCACGCAGTAAGGGGGAAGGCTTTAGTACAGCCAACGCTCTAAGCACATGAGCTTATAGGCCCCGACGGACGACGCGCGTTTTATCACACTTGTGTCAAGTTACCCGCCCAACCTACTGCAACTTCTAGAATGCAAAACATATGATACAGTGTGTTTACTGCCCAAGCAGGATTTCCTAATTAATTCAGCTAGAATCCACCAGATGACTACTAGGCTCACGTAATTCATTGATAGTTTTGCAGATTTTGAATTATTCATATTGACCCAGCTGTGAAAAACTCCGCGCCTCGGTGGGGTTCGAAACCGCGCATTTTTGGGTAAGGCTTTAGTACAGCCAACGCTCTAACCACCTGAGCTTCGAGGCCCCGCCATTTTCCACTGGCTGCATGCTTGTCAGATCAAGACTTTACTTATTAACTGATTGATATGCCGACAATATATAGACTATCTTACCAGAATGTACTGCTAGCGGGAGGAAATGCCTGCGAGATGGAGATTGTGGTTTGCTAAAAATCGGCATATGGACCCCGACGGACATATATAAGTTGCCAAAATTACTGTCCTTGAGGCAGTTTCCAATGGCAAGGTCAAATGGCTTGCCCCGGATGCCGCTAATATTTCCGCTTATGTGCGCTAATGTTGTATTTGACGAGCACATATGTTTGTGATCAGCTTAAGGAGTGGTTGTATTGATGAATACTGGGAGGCAAACATGCAGAAAAATCACGTACGCTGGTCGAGAGCAAAGTTCTTCGTCGTTTGGTGTTCTACGAAACCAACCTCAATGCATAATATGAAAGCGTTTAACGTCGCACTGTTCTAGCTTGTGTTGGTTTTAGGCCCTATTTAAATGTGCTTATACCAACCACATGACTCTTTTGCTAATTCACGATAGAAGATTGTTTGAAACTTGAAATAACTTATACTTCTAGGGCGTTTCAGCCGTATATGGGGAGCAGAGTCCATCAACTCTCAAGAATATCGACACTACTGCTTCTATTCGCGAAATTTCGGTGGAAGCCAGATGGATTTTTGCGGGTAACATAGGCAATATCTATCTGAAAAAGCAAATATACATCTACAAGTTAAATCTTAGCATCGCGTAAGTTGAAGTCGGCACTGCTGCGTGCGTTCTGGTTTTGTATTATTCTGCATGATATCATTGCATTGTAGGTTAAATGCTGTTGAAAAGCTTCGTTGCGCGCTTACGCTTACAAATCTTGCATACGCCACTTCTTTCTTGAAATTGTCTCTATCTTTGTCGTCGGCCATCTCACAAGGATTGTTTCAGTTCCTTTAAAATATCCCTAAACTGTTTTACGTAGATGCAGGGTGTTGTAATCTCTACAGCATAATCACTCTCTGGGTAAATTTGGGCACTTTTTAAGTGCTCATGCATTAATTTGCAAGCTTAAAAACCGGAGCTTCTCGCCGCGTCACTCATCGCGGTAAATCAATTATAGATTGTCCGCATTGCCTGAAAACATCTAAGCAAAATCGAAATTTTGGTGTGGTGCCCATACCGGAAAACAACGCCTACGCCTGCTCATTTCCATGGGGAAAATAGAAAACAACGTGTGAATATAAGGCAGATCCGGTTGGTTATAACCGGTTCTATGCCGATGATGTCGTTGTCCAAATTGACTGTGGTTTTGGGTATTGTACTGTCGGTCTCGGGTTCGTTGTCATAACGCGTTTTTATTTATTCATTTATTTACTTATTTATTCATTTTTTACTTAATGCGCGGTATGTACCAGTGTTCCATAAATGGAATCGCTTTCAGTACACGATAAGCATTTCAAGCATTAATTTAAAAATTTTAATAATTTAAAACCTGTTGTCTTATTGCACTTTAAATTTTTCAATATATCATATCATAACCCACAGTGTTGATGCAGTACCATGTGTTGGCTTAGATGTTCCAGGCTAAACACTGAAATTCCTGACCAAATAATAATTTACGAATTCTTAAATTGATTATTTGGTCGTCACGATACACGTTTCTCTACCTTAAATCGTGATCTAGCCTATGCTACAAATCTACACTTAAAGAAGAATACTTTAAAATAAACTGTTTTAATTAATATCATGCCTATACAGGCATTATGACGAACACAAGAGCTCGTCCTTTGGAAATACATTTATTGTATAAAGTCTGTCAAACTATAGCATCACAAATTCATAAGGTGCACTTTAGACATCACCCCATTTAAGCTTGTTTGTACGCATTTCTCCGTAAAAGCAAACCGCACGTTTTGGCCATATATAGCATATGGTAGTTTTTTCTAGCGGTAAACGCAATATGCTACTTAATTGCACGATCTGTAGTTAATATTTCTCCAGATGACACGCATTGTATGCATTCGGTTCAAAATCCCTCAGTTAACCGCCTAATTGGAGTTGCAGCAATTGCCTTACCATTTTCAGATGCAGTTGCATAATTAACAACGGACAGTGTGTTTGTGTGCTAATAATCCGACCGTCTTTGCTAGGACGCAATCAAAAATATAGTCCCAAATTCGCCGACGTGGGGTGTCAACGATATGAGACAAATGCTTCTTAAAAATAGGCATTCAGTTAATATTTCAGGATGATGCGAAATCTACATTTGTTTAACATTTATGTCTATTCCTAATAGGACCTGCCCAACCGGCGGAAGATATCAGCGTTTGTGAAGAGCCATACGGTGGTTGTGTTGGTTTCTACGATAAGAAGGATAATTTCTCATCATTTTATCGATGCTTGGACGCCTGCAATTTTCAAAAAGGTTCGAATACTATTCAACAGTTATAGCTATCGTTTTTTTAATTGTTACACAACATTAACCGCTTTTCATGTTTTTAGTGCCTGGTTCGAAGCAGCTGCAAGGGTATTCCTGCACCAGTTATCGGACTCCATGCACTCACCTAAACTTTTATTACGTCCAGTCGTTTAAGAATCCTTTTCTTGAGTGGACTACTTGTCTGGAAACTTGTCATGCGCTTTACAAAGGTAACGCTGATCGGTATTAAAAATCAGTGCCAATTTATAGTTGCTAGTAGAGATTGAGTGCGCATTTCATATAAAAAAATATAAAAAAATTTTTTTGCGCGTTATCGGACTTGCGAGGGATGGTGATAATCAACCGCAATGTTCATGAACAGCGTATTGCATCACACTGAACTATAACAACAGCCATTTTACTTCTTTGTTTTCTGAATGATTTGCGCTCCCAATCGTATCCGTTTTCTTGATTGTGCATAACCGCAAAAAGTGTCATCTGATTCTCCCGTTAATGTAATGTACCAAAATGGCATTTTAGATGACGGAACCGTACCATTTAAGAACGAGATCTGCACGCAACCAATGCAAAATTGTTTCGATTTCGAAAATGAAGATGGAACTCTGGATGCGTTTATTGGATGCTACATCGACTGCCAGGTTGCTAAAAATGGTAGGAAGTTGGTTTGGCTAACACACGATTAAATATCCGTTGTTATTGCTTACCGTTTTTTCCAACTTGTTTTTTTAGACAATGAAACACGTATAAGTCGTGCATACATTTGCAATCCTACATCTCGTGCGTGCATTGAAACGGAATTCTTCATCTCATCGGGAGATCCAAACCCAGCCCTCAAATTGCGGAAGTGTTACAAAGAGTGTGCTAGTCCTGGTGGCACAGGTAATTGTATTATGCATTGAAACGCGTTTCACCATAGAAAATGCGTTTAGCTAATTAAATTAATTTCAAAAACCTCAACGAATATGCTCAGAATATTTGAAAACAGATAAACAAGAACTAGATACGATTACACAAGCCCCGTCATTTTGACAGTAGTATTTTGCTGGGTAAAACTGGGTTGTTCATTGGTGATTTGTCAGAAAGTGGTCCAAAAAATAAATTTATCCAATTTCACTTGCGCGCTATAGCACTTGGTCTGATATGCTATAGTCATTTTTGTAGAAAATACCAGCTAGGATACTAATTGTGGCAGCTCTTCACGGCTGCATCCTTTTAAATTAAAAGATGAGTGTTTCATGCCAATTTGTGCAACAGTTTAGCAAATGCGGCTAGACAATCCAGTCTTAATTTCTGAAGCAGGGGATTTATTTTCCCTGTCGCGATTCATTTGGAAGCTTAACGTGTTTTCTATTATAACGTCGTCTTATTTTCCAAAATACAACAAAGAAACAGAAACCAGTCATAAACCTGTTCTTTTCAAATGTGATGTGGACATCAAGACATGCACACCATGCGACGAGGAAGACGAAGGCTGTTCTGACTTTCAAACTTGTGATGATAACTGCAAGGACATTGGTGAGTGGTTTGACCTTGTATAAATTAGGTTTAGCCTGATTCACGTAAATCACTAGACCATATACCCAAGCTGGTCTGATAGGCATTTTGGGATCAATATTTTGAAAGGTAGCGCATAAATGTAGCAAAAAGTTTTTCTCTTTTAAGGTGTTAATCATCCACCCGAGTCAAGACAAAATGTGGCTTATTTCACTACAGACATTTCAACAGTTTTAATGTAGGCAATACAATAGCGGTTTTTCAAAAGCCGATAACTATCGCGATGCGATGCGAGTGCTTTAATTAGCATGCTTGTACATAAGTCTGTGCTGCATCATCAGAGTCGACGTCTAACGGCATAAACCATGGTAGACGTCGATTGCATATTTGCTGTTAAGACTTATCTCAACATGTTGCTGCATCTCTTTTATCAATCTGATCTTGGTATTTAAAACAATGACGCTATCTTTTTGCTGAAACGGCAACCGCGCATCAATGGACCGAGGGACGTCGTCTGCATGCGCTACAGAAGTAACCATATAACTGACCATAAACGTTAAGAAACTCCACTTAGGAACTATACTACACAACTGCTCGATGGCATCTCATGTTTGATGCGATTCCGCATTTGGTTCGCAGCTAATAAAAAATACCGAACGCAGTAGGCATCGTAGTATATCATCCGCGATACATACTTATTTGACAAATTCTGTTTTTGCCTTGTTCCTTCCAAATTTCCCGAAAGAAACTCACTGAAAGCGTATGTTTACGCATGCAATGGTCCGTTCAGTGAGTGGTTGAAACGATCAATATGCCTCGAATTAGCAGACAGCGACAAGCGACATTCAAACTTTCATGTGCTTACTGCCCGGGCATATGCTTTTTGAACAGCCCTACAAGAGTTGAAGAATTGCGGTTTTTGGCTGCTAGACACTTGGAGGAACAGCTGCCATTTAGCCAGCTTTGATAAGAGGATTTTCATCATGGGGAATGATTTCACAGTGTCCATTGACAAGTGCTGTTTACCGTGTCATGAGTCTGCTGCCTTCCTTAGTTAGACACAGGATTTGAACGTTTCTACGTGCAATATCATGTTGAGTTCAGTAAGCGAAGATTATATCAATCGTCGTTAGGTTTGCGTAAAGTTTACTAATTCCGTCACAACCTCTCCGTGAATTCGTTTAAAAAGTGGTGTTTGGTTGACCCCAGCGGTCGATGTAAAACCAAACCTTATGACCTTGAATACCGATTCACATAAACATCTATTGATACCAAAAGCTCCTTGGTGCGATGCCGAGCAGGCTGTTATGCCACAATACCTATGTTTATAATTAATCGGATAATTAGACGTGGAGACCACTGGTCGTGATGGATTCTATAGAAAGAAATGTACTGCTTCAATGTTTTTGCTTGAAATCTGATATTTCGACCTGACATGGTTGAGGCGATGTATATAGGATTTTGATCACGGCTCTTCATTTAGGCGTTTCTACAGTCGAAGCGTGATTTCGGAAAATTTCTTTCGTTTGACACCGGATAATAACGTAGGTCGAGTAAGTCATGTCCACTGCTAAATAAGACATTATAGATTAGGTTGTGGAGAAATGGAAAACACTGTTCACATGATATGCCGAAGGTGTTATACGAAGCTGTTAGCATTATCCTCAGCGTACCGACACTTTGGGGAGTAATTTGCCAAGATCTCAAATTTGCATGATAAGCACCAGCTTAGTCACCAAGGAAATCAAACCCGAAGTGAGAATATTTCAAATATGATGGAGTGCTGTAGGTAGGTAATTTGTCTTGTTCACTGAATTATGAAAGGAATTTTTGATTTCATTATAGAGGCGACCGGTCGTGTACCAGCCAGATGAATTGTAAGTCCTTGCCCGAATGCGTAAGCAGTCAACCATAGTAAGCTGAACTTCTAAATGTGCAAAGTCGAACTGAGGGTCTTGTTGAGTTTCAACCGTGAATGTCACACCAAAGATGAAGACATGACTGGCAAACAAAATTATTAGCCACCATAATTCGTCAAGAACATGAAATTAATTCATTTCTAGTGAAAACCAAATTTCAGGAAAAAGTTGGCCGAAATTGCGAAATACGTTTTTGAAAAAAGTAGATTACTCAGGCGAGGTTGAAACGTTGACTATCATGTCCCAAAACCAAGCGAAAGGTATACTTCATGAATACTTTTATCGATAAAAGCCAATGGGACGCCTGATGTGGATTAAAATCATTCTGGAGCTGTCTACCTATTGGACTCATTAATGTGCCCACTTATTCGGTTAGACGAATGCAAAGAAATCACGACTTGCTAGGAGATAACGGTAGAACATCCTTTTTTGTGCGTATGTTTTATAAAATATATTTAATTTACACCGAAATTAAAAAATCCGTGCATAATTTCAAGCTAATTTGGCAGTAATATTTACCGTGGCAGATCAGTAAGATGTACATTCCAAAGCCAACAGCATGTCTCTTTTTAAATAGCACAGGAATGTTTATTAAAAATCCAAAAACCTTGAAGAAATTCTTACTCGTCAAAGGCACAGATTAGCTGTCATAAGTGATTTTATCTAAGAACAAAGCTTACGGTCGTCCGTCAACGACCCACACAGCCCATTATATACCCATAATCCAAATCATTTTATGCAATTGATATAAGACAAAGTTCAACTGGGGGTTCCCTTGGGTCGAAGGTAAGGAGCGAAGCGAATTGATTAATGAAAACAGTAGATAGTGAAATCTCGATCCTCTTTCAACTGAGCATGCAGAATTATACTTACGTATTCATTAAGGATCCGCCTTCTAGGCGTGTTTTTAATTCATTCGGTAGGCGACACCTCAAGGAGAACCAGAAAAAAAGGATTGAATTCAAGCGCAATGCCTTGGATGGACCGAGGGTACTCCAGCTCTTTACATATCCACCATAAGTAAGTATGACGCATGAGATGCTGGATGCGTCAGAATTATGACGTCGGCCAAACCAGCCTTCGACGCGTCAAGATAAGTCTTTTAGGAGTGTTCGGACAACCACTTAGGCGGATACATGCGGTAGACACTTTGGAAAGATTTGGCTAGCTGTGTTCCCCGGTTTCAGAAACTGCTTAAATTATTGCTCAAACCTAAGTAATCGGGATTTGGGAACGACATCGACGTTAGCGTCTGGAGCAGTATTGTGAAAATAATAGATCGGTTGAAGGTGACATCACGTAACACATTGCAAGAGGTGCTGATGACAAAATGCCGTTCGTCAAACTCTCATAGTAAGATATTGATAGTGTTCATCGCTGATAAGGTTTGACATAGAGTGATCTTCCATACATGCATGCAGAAAATGTGTACAAAATAATGCTTTATGTACACTCTATGGAGAAGTAAGAACGTATGGGTGTCACAAGGTAGTGTTAGTGACCTTACTCATGAAATGTGTCGAAATTTACAAATGATACACAATCACTCGTAAACTGACACCATTTCATGAGTCCAATGTGTATGTTAATTACGTACAAGTTTAAAGGAATTAAAAACATAAAAGAAACATTAAAGGCAGTGCTTCGTTGTTTAGAAATTCCAAATTATTTTGAATAGCCCCGAAAACGTCAGCAATGGCACTCATTTAGAAAACATCGTTTTTAAATGTACATAACGCATTCACATACCAGAAACATACTAAATATGAAAGTAGGCATAAAATAACGTCTAGTAATAGTGCTTTTGTAAAGCTTACATCTAAACATCGTTAATAAGCAGTGTGATGTCATATATGACGGTTTGTGCATACATTCTGAGTATAGATTCCAAAACATTTTTCCAGTGAATATTGTTGGTTTTGGCGCAATTGAAGTAAATAGGATGAAGTTCAACAGGATAAGATGCAATCTGCTTGATTTTACCGATGCGGACGTCGCAGGAACAAAGGTTTTCATAAGTTGTCATTCTATGATGCCGGTCGGTTCCTAATAAATTTAAATAGAACTGACAGGCGTGATCGTAAACGTGCTCTTTTGGTATATAGAGAGAACATTTTTCCGTTAACTTAATTTAAACTTTTTGGTTGTTTTTGATTGACAACCCCGACCCTTAAGACAACAGGAAGTGATGCTCGGCTATCAGTTAGATATTCAGAGAGTCAACACGGATGTCATACGAGGCCATACCTGTCTTAATATCCCTTAACTACGTACAGGGCTTGACCTATCTCATGAAATGTTGGCTAAAATTCTCAAATGTGTTTTCGATTAGGAAGGATTACTTGGTCGCGGTTGTGATAATGATTATCCTAAGGCATACTCTTATAACATTTTAGACTCGGCACGATGTCCGCTTTTTAATACATTTCTTTTTAATCTCCTTTCGAAAGCGTGATCGGTAAAAAATAACTACTTAAGTAGCATGCATTTTTCCCATTGATTTTCGATGGTCTTGGAAATTCAAATATATTTTATAGAAACCACAAACAAAAATATCCGTTCTTTATTTAATCAATAGAAGATCACGTCTTCTTTATATTTTATACTTACTTAATTAGGTTAGAAAAAAAGGTTTCTAGTTGCCGAAAAATTGGGAGCCTGATAATTCGTTGAATTAGCGCTTAGTGATTACACTCTACAAGGTGCATGCGTTCTGCGCAAAGAAAATCTCATATTTGTATAAGTCTTTGAATAGATATTAAATAGGGTCCATAAAATTTTGCAATGGATGCGGACCATGTTGTACATTTAATTAGGAGCAGTGGTAAACGTCCAGGTACGATGTTATGTGAATGGACATCTCGCGGTTTTAAAAAGTCTCGTAATTAGAAACTTTTTTAAGACCTTATTATACTCCTTCCAAAAGTAAGAAAATATAAAGAAGACGTGATTCTCTATTAATTGACTAAAAGAAAGCATATTTTTGTTTGCGGTTTCTATAAATTATATTTGAATTTCCACGACCATCGAAAATCAATGGGAAAAATGCATGCTACTTAAATAGTCTTTTTACCGAGCACTCTTTCTACAGGAGATGCAGAAGAAGGGCATTTAAAAGCGGACATCATGCCGAGTCCAAAATGTTATAAGAGTATGCCTTAAGATAATCACTGTCACAACCGCGACCAAGTAATCCTTCCTAATCGAAAACACATTTCAGAATTTCAGCCAACATTTCATGAGATAGGTCACACACTGTAGGTGCGTTTACGTTGCGTGATAATGTCCATATTGTGTGACTGTCAATGGTAGCCACACTCATCGAATTCGCATGCACATTTATTAACCGTCAAATACAAGCCGCGAACAGCTGTAAAACAGTAGCGTGACCGAAATTCATGTAGTCATCATTCTATTTCAATTGGTATTATCACCTATATTAGAGTGCTGACGGAAAGGCAGACTAGGATTCCCAAATAGCACCTACGTTGGACGCTGACCAGGCAAGCAGCTGTGATAAGTTGTCGTCCGTGGAAACTCATAATCTCAGCACATGTGTGCAAATCACGCCTGCAGCCGCACGACAAAAAAAACGATTGGTTAGAATTTAGCCTAGTGTAGCTCATACCGGCGACTGATAGTGAGCATGATGGAAACAGAAAAGCGGCGAGTGAAAGCGCCACTGGGATACCGCATGGTCGTGCTGAAACTGTTTGTGTTTACACTCTAACACCATGCCTTCATTTCCCAACCCTTAATGACAGTCAGATGTCACTTCGAGGACAGTACTTTTCAAGTGTGATATGGAATCGAAGTCCTGCGAAAGATGCGAAAACGACGATGAAGGATGTTCTGAGATTCGCAGTTGTGACTACAGCTGCAAAGGTGATGGTGAGTGCTTAACTGCGTAATTTAATTTAAACAGCTGCGTTGGCGGAGGCGTTATGTAAGACCTGTTAACAAATAATTCCATCTATATCTACTACAAGTCGCTGTGCGACTGCCTGCGAGGGTTCTGGTACGAGCCCCAAGGCACAACGGAACGAGCATGTTCCGTAACCTGATTGGTGAGCGCCCACTATCATAATATATATATATATATTCACTCAGGAATGTCGTATCCGCTCTGATATATGTTTATATATATATATATATGCGATGATACCGACAAAGACAAGGGAGACCGGAATGACCATTTCTGGCATATTAGCCGTCATCAGCCAGTCATACCCAACCCCAAGTGTGGATCACTTGAGATTCGAACCCGGGATCTTTGGTC